CTGGTAGCATAATGCCTAAAGACACTTGACTGCTAACCAGAAGGCTGGTGGTTCAAACCCACCAGCCACTCCTCGGAAGGAAGATGGGGCAATCTACTTCCCTAATGATACTGCCTCGGAAACCCAAGGAAGGGTCGCTATGAGTTGAGTCAGACTCGATGGCACATAACAACAACAACAAGTGTATTTATGTAAGAGAATGCCTTTGTTCTTAGAAAAGAAAGGGGTAAAATGGCATGATGTTTCAAATGGTGCAGGAGAAAAAGTAATATGCATGCATGATGAGAGGGGAAAGACAAAGCAAATGCGGTGAAATGTAACGGTGAATCTGGGTAAAGGATAATTAGGTGTTTTTTGTATTATTCTTATAATTTTAGGGGGAGTTTGAAATTATTTGAAAACAAAAGTAAAGAATAAAGAAATAAAGCACATCATACCTTAAAAAAAAAAACAACTCGCTGCCGTCAAGTCGATTCGACTCATAGCAACCCCTCCTTGGGTTTCTGAGGTGGTGTCTCTACGGAAGTAGATTGTCCAGTCTTCCTTCTGAGGAATGGCAGGTGGGTTTGAACCACCACCCTTAGCTCTTAAAAATATTTGAATAGTAAAGAATTAAGAGAGGCTTCTGGGAATATTCAGGAAGTATCTAGTCTTTTCTTTTTTTTAAGTATTCTCAGATCATCTTGTTGTGGAAACAAACATGCAGGAAGGATGAGGTATGTGCTATTAGTTTTGTTTAAAACTTGAGCAAAAAAAAAAACCCTAATCAATGTTGGATGTATTCTTTCTTCCTGCTGTGAATTAGTGCATGGTTGCAGTTATAACGTACAGTTTGTAAAATACAAACTTATTGTATTAAAAATTGGTTTCCTTTTTCAAGGTAAACTAGCACTCAAAATTTTTTTCACCATTCACTGTGAAATATTTGTCCTAATATAGTTGATTCACTTTAGGTGAATTCTTTAAATTGTTATCTTCAGATAATAAGAACTTTATAAATACTTTTCTATTTATGTTTTTTAAAAAAGGAGAATGTGAGTGTGTGTGTGTACATTGTAGGGACAACTTCTAGAA